AATAACATTTTTAATAACATGTTATTAAACATGTTTTTAAACATGTTTAATAACATGTTTAATAACATGTTATTAAACATGTTTTTAAACATGTTATTAAATGTGTTAATAACATGTTTAATAAATAAACATGTTAATAAACATGTTATTAAACAGGTTTATTAACAGGTTAATAAACATGTTATTAAACATGTTAATAACACATTTAATAACATGTCATTGCGCCTCAGACTGTCGTCGCACAGACAGAGGCTGCAGAATCATTTCCACCTTAAAAGGCAGAAAGGAAACAAAGTTGCCATGACAACGCTCTCAGCTGGTTCAGTCTAATCTCCTTCATGCCCTGATGTCATCAGTGTTTTCCTAGTGGCTCTCTAAACATCCTGATTTCAGCAGAGCACACACACACACACACACACACACGAACACACACGTACACACGCACACACACACACACACGTACACGCACACAGACGCACACACACACACACAAAGATCTCTGTGGTCACATGATCACAGGCTTTAAAGTCTCAGGCTCACAGTGGGGTTCTTCAAATTGCTGAAGAACTTTTATTTTAATGAGAAGCAGCTGAGCGGCTCTGCCACGCTGGACCCTGATTGGCTGAACAGGAAGCAGCAGACAGGAAAGGGCTACCAGCCATTGTTAGAGAGAGAGAGACATCAAATATCAGAGAGAGAGCGAGGGGCATGAGCTGTCAGCCAATGAGGACACACCCTCACACACACACTCACACACGCCTGTGTTTGCAACTCTGTGAGGACATCCAGCCGTCACATGACTCACAGCCTGAAGTTGAGTCTGGTTCCATGTGGACCCTGATCCAGATGTGGACCTGATCCAGATGTGGACCTGATCCAGGTGTGAGCGTGCCTGCAGCCCGGCGGTCCTCACAGGGACACAAACCCAGTGCCTGTGTGGTGGTGGATGAGTCATGTTCGTGCCTCGGTGAAACCCCAGAGCACTGTTGTGTAACGCTGAGCTGCGATTAGAGGCGGAGCTCTGTCTCTGGATGTTTGTGGTCACAGGCTGCTTTCGCTGCACTCACTTCCTGCGGCGCTGTCTGAGTTCCTCCTGAGGCGTCACGGCGGTCGAGCGAATAATTAAAGTGTGAGCTGAGGTTTTTCTTGCTTTTGCATGACAGGAAGCAGAGCGTCTGTCTGAACATGTGATGATGATGATGATGAATACCTGTGGCGGTGTGTTTTTTCTCCGGGCTCTGTTAGAGAAATGTGACCTGTAACGGTATGCACCAATCAGAGCTGGGCATATTTGCAGGGTTAAACTGCACGCTAATCTCATTAGCGTCTGTGCAGCCTGTAGGGGGCAGCACTAACCAGACCTGCAGTTCCTCTGACGTCCAGCGGAGGCAGCAGTGAGTCAGTACCCATAGACTCCCATGTTAAAACAAACATGTTTACAACCTGATACTCAAACTGATCTCTGTAGGTCATTTCATCCTTCATAGCAAGTTTCAGATTTTCTTGTCATCTGCAGATAAACAGCAACATTTACCTGTAATGAAATTTGTTGGCTCGTGCTCCTCAGCTTTACATGAACATATAGAAGTGTGCAGTTATATTAAAGAAGAAAATAACAATAATAATAAAAATAACAAAGAACTAAATACTAAAGTATTAAATATTAGAGAAGACGGCTGTTTTGTATTTACAGTTGTGTAAAAACTGTGCAATGAGGATTTAAAGTTTAAATTCCCATTCATTTCCTGTGGTCACCTTTGACCTCGAGCGCCACAGATGTAACAATGAAAGAGGCGATCGTGGCTTTAGTGTGGAGGATGTCATAAGGGCCAATCAGGTGTAAAACATATTTATGAGTGTTTTAGTTGTAAATCGGGGTGACAGGAAGTAAGGCCTGCAGGGGGCAGTGCTGAGGAGTGGGCGCTGACTGAGTGTTTCCTGTCTGTCCAGGTGACTGCTGGCTGCTGGCGGCCATCGCCTCTCTGACCCTGAATGAATTTGTGATGGCCAGAGTTGTTCCCACGGACCAGGACTTTGGGGACAGCTACGCCGGCATCTTCCACTTCCAGGTAACTGTGTGATTGTGTGAAACACCTGTACAGGTTGATGTTGTCGGGCCTCGCTGAGGTAAAGCTGGACTCTGTGGAGCTGCGTCAGCCGCCGGCGGCGATCAGCAGAAAGCTGCGGCTCTCACAACAACGCCAGCAGCCATGTTTGTCACGCCTCACGCCCCACCAAGCTTTCCACTCACGTGGGAGTTTGTGTCAGTGCTTCATGCCGGGCACGGCGCCAGGATTCTGGTCGCAGCGAGCTGGGCGGGGCCTTGTAATTACTGAGAGTTATGCTTTTGTTCCTGAAGCTTCTGTCTATGACGGGGGCACGCCCTGCAGAAACAATGCTGCGTGAGTGTTGTTGCTGCTGTGTGCGACTCACTGAGTGTGGGTCGTTAAACCCCGAGAGAGGATCCAGCAGAAACACAAGCGACCAATGACCTCGCAGATACAGAGCGACCTCTGAAGGAGGACTCACCTGTGTGAGGTGTTTTCAGTGTTCTGAATTCACCTGCGATGATTCATAAATGTTATTTCAGCCTTTTGTTTGCTTAAAAAATGAAACCTAAAAATATTCTCACAGCTGTTACTGAAGTGGGCGGGCCCTGGCCATTAGACCCGCCCACAATGCAGTGATAGGTTGCAAATTCACAGAGACTTTCAAAGTAAAAGCCTGACATTCTGCTGTCCCTCCGCAGTTCTGGCAGTTCGGTGAGTGGGTGGACGTGGTGATCGACGACCGGCTGCCGGTCAAAGACGGCGAGCTGATGTTCGTGCACTCGGCCGAGGGGAGGGAGTTTTGGAGCGCCTTGTTGGAGAAAGCCTACGCCAAGTAAGACCCGCCTCAACCAAAGGGGGAGGAGCAGGACCAGGGCAAAGGCTTCTGGGAATCAGGAGGGGTTCTGAGATGTTTATCAACCCTTTTGACAAAACCCACAAACGTTTTTTGACTATATGTTGTGAATAATATGTTTTTATATTTATTTATTATATATTTTTGTATCGCATTTGATACTTTTGGCAACAATTTTGGACAAAAACATAGTTTAGTCTGTAACATGTTGAAATTCTGTCAAGTATTGATCGTGTTGATGGGATGGAGGTCTGATATGACATAACGGGCTTTACAGGGTAAACCTCACATTCACGCCCGGGGTTAGTGCATGGGAGCTTCTGAGCCCCGCCGTGGAAGCTCGTGGTCTTCTGCTGCTCTGAACGGGCTCTACCTCCATCCTGTGCTCTTTGTGTGCAGAGTGAACGGCTGCTACGAGGCGCTGTCTGGCGGGTCCACCACCGAGGGCTTCGAGGACTTCACCGGCGGCATCGCAGAGAACTACGACCTCAAAAAGCCCCCCTCCAACTTGTTCCAGATCATCAAGAAGGCGCTGGAAGCGGGCTCGCTGCTGGGTTGCTCCATCGATGTGAGTGTGGAGAGAAACCATCTTTTTCCTGCAGCTAGTGAGGTTCTCTCAGATTCTCCGAGCGTGTTTCGGGATTATTCGATGGAGGCGGCGAAAGCCGGGGTCAGAGTTGGGTTGTTGGCCGTGGACTCGGGGTCAGTGGTGATGAGCTGTGCTTGTCTCTCTGCAGATCACGAGCGCCGCAGACTCTGAAGCTGTGACTCATCAGAAGCTGGTGAAAGGCCACGCCTACTCGCTGACGGGCGCCGTGGAGGTAACGTCAAAAGAGAAGCAGTGAGGATGAGGATGAAGGAGGAGGAAGTGACATGTAACTGTTTTCATTCCCAGGTGAACTACCGAGGGCGTCAGGAGAAGCTGGTGAGGATGAGGAACCCGTGGGGCCAGGTGGAGTGGACGGGACCGTGGAGTGACGGGTAACCACGCCGCCTGAGAGCTGCTCCAGCTGCTCCAGCTGCTCCAGCTCATTTTGTTTCTGCTAAGTCAGGCTAGGACGACAGATCAGCTGACAGTAGACCTGCTGCTGTCACCCTGGTTACTAGCAGGTGGCCTCTGATTGGCTGTGCAGAGTTTAGTGAGTGGTGTTTTCACTCGAGTGCACCGATGACAGTAACAGCGTGTGGAGGTCACCGCACCCGCCCCACCTGCAGGGCAACCTAACCGGTTACAACAAACCTGTCCTGCAGGCTGCCTTCAGTGCTGAAGCCTGATTGGTCGATCCAGTTACCTGTTCTAAGAAAGCAGGATGTGGAACGACAATCAAACGTGCTGAGTCACTCAAGTGCTGCCTCCTCACAGCAACACCTGAGCTTCATGTAGACACAGCCTGTCAGAGCAGGTGAGCTCAGAGCGCCACTCAGGTGAGCCGACCTCAGAGCGCCGCTCAGGTGAGCCGACCTCAGAGCGCCGCTCAGGTGAGCCGACCTCAGAGCGCCGCTCAGGTGAGCCGACCTCAGAGCGCCGCTCACGTGAGCCGACCTCAGAGCGCTGCTCAGGTGAGCTCAGGTTTATTTAGACAGCAACACATCACGACAGCAGTCGCCTCAAGCTGCTTTACATTGTAAGGTCGACCCTACAATAACACATGCAGAGAAACAGTCACATGACCCCTTATGAGCAGCACCTTGGCGACAGCAGGAAGGAAAAACTCCCTTTTAACAGGAAGAAGGTTCAGAACTGTGAGGCTTTGATCGGTTCTGCTCTTTGCAGGTCGTCTGAGTGGAACTACGTGCAGGGGGAGTCTCCTCACAGCAAAGCAGAAGATGGAGAGTTCTGGTAGGCGGAGTCTCTGTGCGCACAGCACACCTGCTGAGGCCAGAAGCTCAGGTGTGCTGACAGGAAGCGCTCTTCTCTGTTCTTTCTCTCCAGGATGTCCTTCAGCGACTTCCAGCGTCACTACTCTCGTATCGAGGTGTGCACTCTGACCCCGGACACCATCGAGAACGACTCCGTCAAACACTGGAGCGTCAGCAAGTTTGACGGCGGCTGGAGGAGGGGCTCCACCGCCGGAGGCTGCAGGAATAACCCGTGTGAGTGACCTGCTGCAACACTGAGACCGTGTAACCAATCAGAAATGAGCATTATTTGTGGGGGCTTAAGTTTTCTAGAACCGCTAGTGGAGGACGACCTGGCGGGGGCGGGGCTTTCCTCGCTGTGATGCTTTGCAGCTGCAGGAGGTTTCAGGCTGCGTGTTTCTGTCTGCAGACACGTTCTGGACGAATCCGCAGTTCGTGATTAAGCTGGCCGAGGAGGACGACGACCCCGACGACAGCGAGGTGGGCTGCAGCTTCGTGGTGGGTCTGATCCAGAAGAACCGCAGGAAGCTACGCAAACAGGGCGAGGACATGCACACCATCGGCTTCGCCATCTACGAGGTGAGAACGTCCGAGAAAGTCTGATGTGAAGCATTCAAAGACCAAACACGTGACCAAACTCTGAACTCTTCTTCTCTTCTTTTATTTCAGCTTCCACAAAAGGTGAGTGCTGAACCCGCAGGTCAAAGGTCAAAGCTCTATTCCAGGTCTTTGATACAAGCAGGATGTTTCCTGTGGTGACATCAGCGATGTCAGGATGCTCTCAAACATGGATACACATTTTCTCTTTGGCCACACCTCCTGATGTCCCGATTGGCTGTCCTCTCTGTATCTGCAGTTCCACGGGCAGAGGGACGTACACCTGGATAAGAACTTCTTCCTGAGCCACGCTCAGACGGCGAGGTCAGAAACCTTCATCAACCTGCGTGAGGTCAGCTCTCGCTTCAAGCTGCCGCCGGGCGAGTACCTGATCGTCCCGTCAACCTTCGAGCCGCACCTGAACGGAGACTTCTGCATCCGGGTGTTCTCCGAGAAGCAGACGGAGACCGTGTAAGAAATCTGCCGCTGTGGGGGTGTGGTCGGGGGGTGGTCGGGGGTGTGGTCGGGGTGTGGTCGGGCACTAAGCTCCGGCCGTGGAGGCTTCGGGGTCTTGCGTGTTTGGTTGGCGCTCTGATGTGTGACTCGCAGTTTTCTCTCTCGCAGGCCCTGCGACGACCCCGTCAGTGCCGAACTCGATGATGTGAGTAACACTCAGACTCACGGTTTTTAAACAGGAAGTAACGCCCCTGAGGTCGGCGTTGCCTCAGTGCGGCGCCATGTCTGCAGGTTAGTGATGATGTGCTGACGGTTGCTATGGTGTTTGTGTCCAGGAGACAGTGCCGGACAGCGAGGTGGACGCCGGGTTCAGGGGCCTCTTCACTAAACTCGCCGGAAGTGTAAGTTCATCCTCATCACGCGTGGCCTAACAGGAAGTGTCCCACACCTGCTGCGCGGCGGCGTGCAGGTGCGCTGCCCACAGACGCCTGATTGGCTGCTCGTGTTTGTGTTTCAGGACATGGAGATCTCTGCAGTGGAGCTGAGGACCATCATGAACAAAATCGTCTCCAAACGTGAGCTGAAGATTCGACGCCTTTTACCTGAACACAGAGCGCTGCAGGTTTCACTTCCTGTTTTCTCTTTCAACAGGAACTGACATCAAAACTGACGGCTTCGGCATGGAGACGTGCAGGGTGATGGTGAACCTGATGGACGTATCCTTTACAGACAGCTGGGGTCACCTGGAGGCAGGAAGTGTAGGTGTTAGAGAAACAGGAAGTGATGCCAGAGTGCAGGCGTTAAAGCAGGGTTGATGATGTCACTCACCTGTCAGTGAGTAAAGTTTTATTTGTAGAGCACGTTTCTAGAGAAAAGATCAAAGTTCTTCACAGGGTATAAAACAAAAACAGACAAAAAAAAGATGTTTTTAGTTGTTTAAAGTAAACTGAGTCTGCAGATCTGAGGAGGAGAGTCCACAGTGACCAAAGCTGCGTCTGCCTGGTTCTCAGCCCTGATCACAAGATCTCAGGGACCTACTGGGGCAGAGGGCTGTGAAGGTTCAGTGATGCAGGCTGGTGCATGCAGAGCTTTGGCCTGCATTTGTATAGCGCTTTTCTAGTCCTTAAGGACCCCAAAGCGCTTTACACTACATTCAGTCATTCACCCATTCACACTCACATTCACACACTGG